TGTGATAGTTTAATGAGAATGTTTTTTAGGGATCGATTAGTTCGTTCTATCTTTCCTGAGGACTGGGGATGGTACGGGATATGAAAATGCCAAGGAATGTTAAGGACTTTAGATAAGGTCTGGGAAATCTGAGAAGTGAACTCAAGGCCATTATCTGACTGAAGGGAAGTAGGAATTCCAAAGTGTGGGATAATCTCAAGGAGAAGGAGATCAGAAACTGAGCTCTCTTGTTAGTGGTGGGGAAAGCCTCCAACCATCCCGAGAATGTGTCCACCAAAAGCAGGAGATATCAGACACGTTTGACTGCTGGCATATGGGTAAAATCAAGTTGCCAGTCAGTCCTGGGGAGAGAGCCCCTAGCCTGGTGGGTAGGGAAAGGGGGGCTATGATATCCTGAGTTAGGATCTGAGGTCTGGCAGATCTTACAAGAGGCAGTAATGGTCTTTACGAAGTGTAAGTCCTCAGAGGTAGGCTGCAGGTGAGCTCTAATAAAGTTAGACAAAGCTCAGCTGTTAGGATGAAAGAGCTGGTGTAGATAGGACAGGATCTGACGGGTGTCAGGAGAGGGCGGGGGAGATGTGGGTTGTAGTGTGAGGATGTTTTGTGGTGGGAGGGAGGAGTCTAGGCATTTTAGAGCTGCAGCCTTAGCTGCCTCATCAGCCCGGCCATTCCCTTTGGAAACTATGGAATTGTTCCTCTGGTGGGACCGGCAGTGGACTACTCCAATGGCTGTGGGAAGCTGGGAGGCTTCTAGCATGGCCATAATTTGGCCTGCATTGGTTACTGATCCTCACTTTGCTGTGAGCAACCCACGCTCTCTCCAGATGGCAGCATGGAAGAGAAGAATATGAAAAGCATATTTAAAATCTGTATAAATGTTGAGGGATTGTCCCTGGGCTAATTGAAAAGCTCGAGTAAGAGCTATTAGTTCAGCCTGTTGATTAGTGGTATAGGCAGGGAGGGCTTGTGCCTCAACCACCTCAGTATCCGACACTATGGCATAACCTGCTTTTCGAGCTCCCTCATGTACAAAGGAGCTGCCATCTGTATACCAGGTATAGACTGACTGAGGTAATGTGCCCTCCTGTATGAGTGAGGGATGGGGCAATAGTTCCTCTAAAGTTTCAGTGCAAGAGTGACATGGGGAACAGTCAGAGTTAGGTTGAGGAAGAAGGCTTGAAATATTAAGGGGTGGGCATGGTTGGAAAGTGACGGTAGAGTCTTCTATTAGCGCCACCTGGAGGGAAAGGACCCTGGAAGGAGGTAAGGTTTGTATGTTAAAAGGTGAGACAGATTGTGAGAAGAGAAGACAGTAATAGGTGACCCAAAAGTTAGTTTTTTTGACTCTCTAATAAGGAGCTCTGCAGCTGCCAGGGCACAAATGCAGGGTGCCCATCCCTGGATTGTCAGGTCTAATTTTTTGATAGATAGGCTACAGGTGCAAAAGAAGGTCCCAGTTGGTGGCCCAGGGCCCCAAGGGCATATCCCTCTTTTTCTGTTACATAAAGGGAGAAGGGACAGGTTAGGTCTGGAAGATGTAAGGCCGGGGCCTCAAGAAGAGCCTGTTGGAGCCTCCAAAAGAGCTTAGTAACAGGTTTTAGAATGGGTTCATGTAAAGGGCCTAAGGCTGCCTCATATAAGCGGCGAGCAAGAAGGGAAAAGGAGGGGACCCAGGACCATAAGAAACCGGCCATTCCCAGAAACGATAAGATTTTTTTCTTTATTAGAGGGAACTGGCAGCGACAGTATTAGTTTTTTTCTGTCTAGGGTAATACCCTTGTGAGTTGGATTTATTGTTAGTCCCAGGTAGGTGATCTCAGAAGTGGGCAGCCGGACCTTGGAGGGTGAGACCCAATAGCCCTTGCTGGATAGGAAATTTAGAAGAGCAGAAGTGTTACTTTGGCTAACTTTTAGGGAGGGGCTACAAAGGAGAAGGTCATCTACATATTGTATAAGTTTAGACTTAGGGAGAGATAAGAAGAGTAGATCAGAGGCTAGGGCCTGGCCAAAAAGGTGTGGACTGTCCCGGAACCCCTGGGTTAAAACAGTCCAGGTAAGCTGAGTAGAAACGAGGGTGTCAGGGTCAGTCCAGGTAAAGGCAAAGATATTTTGTGATTGGGCATCTAAGGGAATAGAGAAAAATGAATCCTTGAGATCCAGAACTGAGAAATGGGAAGTACCTGAGGGGATAGTGGAGAGGAGGGTATACGGGTTAGCTACCACAGGGTGGAGAGGAACGACCGCAGAATTTAGTAGGCAGAGATTCTGAACTAGGCGAAAGGTTCCATTGGGCTTTTTTACTGCCAGGATGGGGGTGTTAAAAGGAGAAGAGGTGGGGCGGAGGAGTTTTTTTCTTAGAAGATCAGAGATAATAGGCTTAAGTCCCCTAAGGCTCTTAAGAGGAAGAGGGTATTGAGCCTGAACAATATAATGGGTGGGGTCCCATAGCCGAATGGTTACAGGGGAATGGTGACTAGCCACAGAGGGATTTTGGACATCCCAGACTTGTGGGTCGACTTGAGTGGCTGGTAAGGGAAGCAGCATGTCAGAACTGGTGGGCAAGGTGGCTAGGAGGAGAAGGAGAGAGGACGCTGGTGAGCTTGGGGTCAGGTGGATGGGCGGAGTGAAAGAAATAGAGGACCCTACTTTGACTAAAAAGTCCCTTCCCATTAGGGGAACTGGACAGGCTGGCATTACTAAAAAGGAATGGGTCAAGGGGACTGCCCTAAAGATACAATTTAGTGGTGGAGTCCGACAGGGCTGGCAAGGCTGTCCCCCTACCCCGACAATAGAGGAACTACAAGGAAAAGTGGGACCCCAGTACTCCGTTAGGACTGAGTAAGTGGCTTCAGTGTCCACAAGGAAGGAGATGGCTCGCCCTGATACCATGATAATTACTGGAGGCTCCCTCTTCGTGATGATATTGGTCAGGTCAAGGGAACCCGGGCACCTTCAGTCGTCCGTAGCCAGGCCTAGGATATCGGCCGGAGGGCTATCTGGGGGTGATGCCCCCATATCATGGGAGAAATGGTGGCAGTCAACACCCCGATGTCCCTCTTGGTGGCATTTTGGACATGGCCCTGGTGGCCTTCAGGTGTTAGGGTAAGCCCTGACCCAGTGACCTTTCTGACCACATTTGAAACAGGGACCCGGTGGTCCTTGTCCCTTAGAGCACAAGGGAGCCTGGGTAGTGCCTGAGACCAGTCGGATGGCCTGGGCCAGCATTTGGTATTTTTGTCTGCAGGCTTTTTCATCTCTCCCATGGAACACCTTAAAAGCCAGTGCTAAGACGTCTGCCTATGGAGTAAGAGGTACCCTCTCCAAGGATTTTAGCTTAGCCCTGATGTCGGGGTAACTTTGGGAGAAGAAATAGGTCATTAAGAGTTGTCTGCCCTCTATACTTTCGGGGTCTAGATTAGTGTGTTGTAAGAGAGCCTGTGTAAGGTGTTGTAGGAATTGGGACGGGTTTTTATTTTTGTCCTGAATGACCTCCTGGAGCTTTTCATAGTTAACTGGCTTAAGGGCAGCCTTGCGGAGACCAGCCAGCAGGCAGGTTATAAACTGATCCCTAGCTAGAATGCCCTCTGGGGTATTATAATTCCAATTTGGGTCCTGGTCAGGTACCGCCCCAGCCCCGACAGGGTGTGAAGCATTTGTTTGGTGAACCTCATCTGCATGCCGTCTAGGCTGTTCCCAAACTCGCCTGCACTCCTCAGGTAATAGGTTATTGGTAAGGATCATATAAATATCATGGAAGGTGAGACTATAAGATTGAGCGAGATATTGAAATTCTTTAATGAAGGTAGAAGGATTAGAGGTATAGAATCCTAATCTCTTTTCCACTTGAGAAAGTTCAGTTAATGAGAAGGGAACATGCACCATAATTAAGCCGTCTATACCTGCTACCTCCCTCAAAGGAAGAATAGAGGCTGGCTTAGGTTGAGTAGAAGTTTCAGATTTTGTTGCAGAGCTGGAACTGGTTGTGGGTGGGGTGAAAGTGGGTGCCAATGTGAGGCAAGTAGGATGGTCTGTTGATGGAGGAAGGAGCGAGGGTTTTGGAGAAACTGAAGGAGGGGGGTAGGAGGGGAAGGGGAAGGGCCCGAAAGTTGCAAGGATTTTAGAGAAGCAGGAGGTGGAGAGGCTGGGGCAGACTCCGGAGGTTGTGAAGATTTTGTAGAGGTGGGAGGTTGAGGGTGGCGCGGTGGAGCTTCATCCGCTGGATCAAAAGTAGAGAGCTCCTCAGATTGAGGTTTTATTGTTAGGAGGAGTTGAGTAGGAGAACAGGAAGAGCAGAGGGAAGGTTTAGAATGAAGGAGAAAGAAAGCTTGGATATAGGCAAGCTCCTTCCATTTTCCAGTTTGCTGACAATGATTAAGAAGATCCTGTAAAATACTGGGATTTAATGTGCCATTAATCGGCCAATTTGGACCCCCTTACCTAAAGAATATGTAGGCCAAGTTTTATTACAGAGGCATATGAGTTTGGGAGTTTTTAACTGGGGTTGTAGACCCAAAGTCTTAACATTTTCTAGAAGACATCCCAGTGGAGAAGTTGAGGGAATAGACTGCGTTGTATGGGCGGTACCCATTGGGAGGTGAGAGAGACCCAGCCTTTAATGGCGTCCCAGAAAAAGGCGGGTCTCTAGAGAGACTGGTCTGGTCTGGTCCAATATCTCGCCAGATTTTGGCCAGGGACCAATGCAAGATGCCCCATGGCACGGCCGAGAGAACACGGTTTTGCCTAGCTAGGGCTTTCTGAAAGAGCAGGTAGAGAAACCTCATGTAGAAAGCTCTCCCAGGGGAAACTGAGGCCCTAGTAGATATGTGGTCTAGCAATAGGGATATGCTGACCAAAAGGGAAACTTACCAATGTAGCCGGTGTTGGAAGCCTCTGTAGCGAACTGGTAGCAAGAAAGTGGAGATCTCGGGCGGATTTGGAGAAAAATAGGTCTCCAGAAGCCCCGGTGCACTTGGTGAACTCACTGGAGGTGACCTATCCCGGCGTTGGTGGTTCAGTGGTAGAATTCTCACCTCCCACACGGGTGACCTGGGTTCGATTCCCAGCTAATGTACCAATGTTAGGAAACGTGCGCTTGTGGAGGTTACACGCAGGTTCACAAATCACACCACGAGATCGCTTCCACATGGGAGGTTTATTAGGGATAGGGGGAAAGGGGTCACAGAGAGACGAGGCAGAGAAGAAAAGAGGGGGGCTCCTGTTCTCTTTATAGGATGACTCAGGGCATGCACAGGTAGTTTCAGGTGGTCAGCAGGTGGTCTGGGTGTCTTCACAAATGCCTGATAACTGGTCTGTCAGGTCCCTTGGGGCTGCCTGTAGAAGTGCCTGCTTACTGATCCCAACAATATGTTTTCTGGATAGCAGCCATTCTAAATGGTTCAAAATGAGATCTTAAAGCAGTTTTAATTTACATTTCCTATTTGGGGAGGAATGTTGACTATTTTTATAGTGTTCCCTAAATTTATATTTCTTCTTTTAAGAATTCTCTGTTCAGTTCCATAACCCATTTTCAATTTCTCTTTTGTGATTTATTGTTGTTTTGCTTGCTTTTATGAATCTGTGACTTTTTTCACATTCAAGATGCATTATAGAATGAAAGTCTTGTCCTAGAACAAGACATAATCTGCATTCTCCTCAGCATCTGATGGCATGTGTTCACTAACTCAAGTTCTTCACACCATGAATTACACAGAACTGGAAACATCAACCATAGACTCACTTTAAAAAAAATACTGCTGATAGAGCCACTTGTGTCAGTGAGTTCTTCCAGGACGTGACAACGCAGAGGAAACTCTTGCTTCATCTCAAAGCACTCTAACAATGCTCTGAATCAGTAAGGGGGAAGGATGAGCACCGTAACTGGAATTTCTCTAATGATAAAAAGATAAAATCCCCTAATATTTTATCAAGTACAGATTCTGATCTGGGATGGGGACCGGGATAAAACAAGCGTCTCTTTGTGCTCCCACGTGACGATGATGTGTCTCATGAGTCACCATTAAGGAGAAAAAATCTAAGCGATGTATCTTTTTCTATTTTGAAAGTTTTTTTTTTTTTTAATGTTGTGTATACTCACATGTCTAAATGGGAGAATGTGAACAATGTGCTACTGAGTGCAGGTACTCAAAGAATCCAGAACGTGTTAGGTCACTTAAAGCTGGCAGTAATGAACCATATGATGTGGATGCTGGAAATCATACACAGATTTTCATCAACAGAAGTGTATGTTCTTAATTGTTGAGCATTATACCAGCCTGTAGACCAGGTTTCTTTCTCTCTCTCTTTTTTTTTTTAAGATTTTTTATTTTTATTTTAAGATTTACTTATTTATTATGTATACATTGTGCTGCCCGCATGTGTTCCTGCAGGCCAGAAGAGGGCACCAGATCTTATTATAGATGGTTGTGAGCCACCATGTGTTTGCTGGGAATTGAACTCAGGACTTCTAGAAAAGCAGCCAGTGCTCTTATCCTCTGAGCCATCTCTCCAGCCCTAGACCTGGTTTCTTAACCTGGGCTCCATTGGTAGTCTGGCTCAGAAAAAAACCAAATACACAACAAAATAAAACACAAAAGAAGAAATTTCTTGTAGGAATGATACACTATGCATTTTGATATGTTTTTATCTTTTCTCAGTAGATGCCAAGAACATCCTTCAAGATATAGGAATCAAGAATCTCCCAAAGGACCCTCACTAAAAACGTCTGTGTAAAAATTAATTTTATTTGAGAACCACTTGTTTATCATTTAAACACAGCTTTAAATTGCTTTACTGGATCTCATTAACACTACGAAAAATAGATATAATACAATACATAATTATATGGGTTTACATTTTTATGGGTGTATCAGAATCTTGATTCGAAGGTCTGAATTTTGCATATTGTATCTGGAACGATAAAACCATTCAGATATTATCTATACCCTATAAGGGGGTGAAACAAGGCATGAGATCTCTGGAGACATTTCTATTTGCTCCCCTTATGTTGTAGAAACCCCTAAAGAAGATGAACTGAAAGAAAGGTAGGAGCCATGCCAATGGCTTCATAAGAATCATATCACTCTGCCAGCTTGCTCTCATAAAATTCTGCGTGTGTACTCCTAAGCTACAAACTAGAGAAGTTCTTTTATATGATTAGGTCATTAAACTTAAGAGAAAAAAATTTAGGATGGATCAATGCCTCAGTGGATAAAATTATTGACCTACAAACCTGGTGATTTCATTTCTGATCCCAGAATCCACATCAAACTGGATACCTTAGCATGGGCATCATTAATTCAAAAGTGCTTCTACAGACAGATGGGAGGAAGATACAAGAGACTCTTAAGATTGCTAGGCAGCTACCCTGTCACACAGAGCAGTAACTAACAAGAGACTCTATCTGGAAAGGAGAAGATGAGGCATATTTTGCAGGCTGTCCTCTGTCCTCCACATGCATTCCGAATGTGCTATAACATGTACACCCACCGACAAACACAAACTCATATTATAAATGGCATAATGCACACATAGGATATACCCTTCCTGCTCAGTTTTATGGGCTAGGCAGACATATTTGCGATGGACATGTTTGTAAATATTTATTATTATTAATTATTATTATTGATATCATTACTACTACTACTATTGAAATTGTGAACTGTGGCTCATTTTGACAGTCAGTTTCTAGTACCATGCTTCCTATTATGGCTTCCTTGCCATTGTAACTGGCCAAAGTTTCACCCATGTGTGGAAATGAGAGAATCACAGCCTCAGAAGCTTACTTGCTGACCTTCCTTGCCACATTTTACTTTAAATTTCTAGAGACAAAATTTCATACAATTTCCAAGTGTCATATCACAACAGGTATCTTAATGACCACAATTATTATTTTTAGATGTCCACTATCCTTTTTTATTCTCTTCTATGAGAGTGAATTTTACTGTATTTATTTTACTTTTTAAAAGAAAGAAATGGTGTTCCAGATAGAGCAGAAATCATCAGAATTCTGAATGTCAAATGGGATTCAAAATACCTATGAATAATCTCGGTTTAATATGCTCTTAGCTCTGGCTTAGATAAGAAACCCCAGCCATAAAATTGTAGAAGAAAATTGATGTAAAGAAATCACTGAAAATATAAAGCCTATCTCTTTTGCATTTGCAAGCCTTTGATTAGCTTTACCCTAGTACTTTCCAAAGATAAAATCTGTTTTTCAAAGATTGAGATAATGTCTAAGGAAATGCCTGTAATAAAACAACTCTAAAAATTTGAACACCAAATATACTAAGTGTATGACTTGTTTTGAGTTTTCTCTATGCATTACTCAACCCAATTCAACCATGACTTCGGAGTATCTGTGTCTTATGATGTACCATTCAAAATTTGAAAGCTACAAGAACATTTAAAAAATCCTTCCTTCCTTCTTTATTAACTTCATCTCTTAATGGAAAAATGAAGAAATTCAGGTATTTCTTATTAAATGTTTAAGTAAAATTACTTGTTCTATCACCTTAACACCACTACCAGTAACATTTTCACACTACATTACCCATGATAATTCTATATTAGACTGACATGTTATTATGAATATACATATATAGAACTTCACATTGCTTACATTGATTACATTTATCATATTGTGCAAAATTCTGGAAAACTATTTTAATGCACATGGCGTTTTTGAACAATGGTCAATTGTTATTGTGATGTCGAAGAGACAAATTGGCACTGTTTTAAAGTTTATTGTGAAGGTGGCAATGTGTGTATAAAATAGAATAAAATGTAGTGTGGTCAGAAGAGAGCATTGGACATTGTAGATGGTAAAGGCATAAAAGTTTCTATTTGGGCATAAGTTGCTTTGATCATCAATATCAGAATCCATGGGGATTTTCATACATACTATCTGAACTCTATGAGTGGCCCATGCTTATGATCTCAACACTGGGGATACATATTGTACATTTCAGATCCACCAGGAATATATAACAAATTCAAGGGTAGCTTGAGCTATATAGTGACACACTCAGAGACACACACAGACACACACACACACACACACACACAGACTCAGAGACAGAGAGAAACATACAGGAAGAGAATACATACAGACGAAAGGGGAATGTGTTGGAAAGTGCGTAAATTGAAACACTGTCTCTCAGTAGCTACCATTCTAAGAACTCGAAGGTCTCACCAGAGCTCTTTCTAATCAATTAGTGTCAGAAAGCTTCTCTTGCCACCTCCCTGAAATACAGTAAAATGGAGTCTTAAATCTGCAGGAAACGTGCATAGAAGGACATCAAGAAAAATAATGGAAGCTAAGCAATCCAGCAACATGTGTAAGACAATTTGATGTAAGCAGGTGAGCCTAATAGAAGGATGGTATTCCCTAGAAGAACATTTCTGTAGAGTTGGATAGAATGGAGAATTGTCTTGACTTTTGTTCTTATTCTCTGTTCTGTTATTTCTTTTTCAAACAAGAAATTGAAGCCAGAGGCTATTTTTAGTTCCCTAAGAGTGAGAAAGTGCATTAGTATGGTGGTAGAGCTACAGGTGAGTTTATGTGGAACTGTGATATAACCCCACACAGCTGGCTTGGGACTGGAGATTGGCAGCAGCATTACTGGGACAAACAAGATCATTCCCAAGTCTTCCAGGACTGTAATTTCAAGCATAGCAACCACTGGACTATATAAATAGAAGGTACAAATCATAATGAGAAATTCAAGCTCTATAGCTGATTTCTTTCTTAGTTCAATATAGAGGTTCAAGAGACAGCATGGATTTTCTATCAACTTCATAGCTACATAAGCTCACAGTTATAGGCTTGGACAGTCTTGGGGTTTGTTGGCACCTTTTGAGTTGAGCCTCTTCTGCAGATAAGTCTCAAGAATATAAATCTGTATTTATTCATATCTGTACATTTGGCATCTTAACAAGTCTCAAACTTGAGCTCATGGTCCATGAGACTGAAGAAACCTCACTTTTCCCACAGTAATTACATTGGTATTTACAGAGACTCACATTATCAAAAATGTATTTTAATTATGTGTGAAGTCATTTGATACCACTTAA